TTAACTCAAGCCCACCAGGATATATCGTATCGACATCAGAATGGAAATTACCATTGTTGATTGACAATATGTCGTCGATATATCTAAATGTCGAGTTGAAGGCCACAGCAAGTGTTTTCTTCTTTTCACGCATAAGATTTTGCACAAATTCTGCTTATTTGAATACAAAAATAGATTTGCTAATACACTGTAACGGAGATTTTAATTTATTGTTGAGAGTGGTTGTGTATAAAGTTGAAAAGTCGTAAGTTTTTAAGCTGTTGATTTTTGTAAAATCTTATGATTTCAAATGGTAAAAAAGTTTCTGTGAATTTTTAAGTATCCGCATCTGATTTATAAATACACCACGTTTTGAATATATTGTTGCACAGTATTCTTGAAGTTTCTCCGTCACTACTGTTAATATCTTAGTGGGGAGTAAAGAAAGAGGCTTGGTTGAACATACTTCATAACATCAAAGAAGTAACGAAATATATTTCCTTATTCTTAAAAAATGAATAATTTTTCCAAATAAAACCCATTCCTATCCATTTACTTATCTAGTTTTTCCTACACATAAGTTGAACATATTTTATTAAAATCAATGCGAAAAGATTAGGCAGCGATTACATGTATAAGCCTTCTTCATAAGGTACAAAGTATGTCAGTACATCCATATAAATCAAATATATGCCATGTATGTTCATATTTTTAACTGATGCAAATTCAAAAATTGTGCAACCTCCCGCTTTCGGTGTCTAAGCTAGTGGGTACGATGTTATTGCATGTGCTTATGGCAAATTAGTTACTTAATTAGTTTAAAAAAAAAAAGAACTAATAATATTGCCACAATCATAAGATCGAACAAAAACATCGATTTCTTTTATCGGTTTACCAGTTTGTAAGTACCTCTTTGGTTGTTATTCAACATCTGTGTCCTCGTGCCATTTTGCTTCTTTCTTTGAGTTAAAGTAAAATGTACTAGAATTAACATTTTTAAATGTTGGTGCGATGACAGTTGAAGTAAATTGAAAATTAAAAAGAGTTTGTTATAATGTATAATTTTTTATACTAGAAATGTAAATTTAGCACCAAAAGTCTCAAATAGCCTTATTTCAAGGCATACAGTGGTCAACAAAAAATAAATATTCGATTAAAAAAATTCCTTTTCCTAAATACTCGTACATGAACATAGCACGAAAATCACTGTTTTAATAGATGCAACAGTAGAAAACAATTATCGAATTCTTTATTTCATTAAGGATAATTTCATTCGTAACATGTTCATGCTTTCAACTTTTTATAATCTTTTTTTTAAATAGAGAGACAAAAAAGAAACGATTTTTAAAGAATATTTTAAATATTCTGAATTACCGGTACTTCATGCTTAAAAATCAAATGAAAAATTATGTAGTGAACATTTTCACTACGAAAATATTCATTGCAGAAGATTAAGACTATTTATAAATATAATTAAAAACACAAACAAACATAAAAAAAACAAAATCTTAGGTACTATAAGTAATTTATCTTAGTTTTATTCTAGACAACATTAGCGTTCATTACCTAAATCAGACGTTAACAATGTGTAAAAGTCATATAGAAAAAATTTCAAACACCTGTTCAACTCATAAATAATTTAAAAAAAAAACATCATAGTCTTCCTTCACTCTCAGGAAACGTCACACAATAAGATTTAAACAAAGGACATTTTCTTCAGGAGGAAATCATCCATGCTGAGGGGACTTATAAGTCACTGCGTACGGTGTAGTTTCTCATTCAATGTGACAAATGGTATCACTACAAACTTAAAATACTACAAATTCAGAATTATTTAACCAACTAAAGTTTCCTTCAACAAAATTAGAATTTTGAACTTGCAACCTACTTCCTCTGAAAATATTTGTCTATTAACTAGTATGTAAGTAGTAATTTGTCAGAAAACCTGGTCGTAAATGATTTAAAACGATTTTTTTTTGAAAACACGCATTGCTTTCATCCATGTAGACTAAAACTTATTCAGAAGCAGATTGAATTTTGAAGGTAATAAGTGAATGCTTATAGACAAATTGATGGATTGTAATGACAAGACAGCAATATGCGGAAACCTACACTAAAACAATGTCTGACAACGCCTATGGATTGAAGCCATTGACCTGTCATATGATAACCTTGTTAAACTAAGAAAAATTAACAACGCTTCCTATCTTAAAATTCCTTATTTTTAAAATGATAGGCCGTTATTTCTAGATATTTTTATGGAGTATATATGTAGAGGATTTTTGGCTTATAAACCGTGAATGTCTGTCATCTATTTATTGCTTTAGAGAAAACTGATCAAGCGTGCAACATTGTTATCACTGCAGTGCGATCGGGCAAAATTTGGAGATTTTATCACTTTTAAGCATATTTGCCCTGAGATCTCTGTGTTTTTGTCTATTCAGAGGTATGTCTACAGTGTAAAAACAGGCATGGGCGAGCCATCCGGGCACCCTATCGGGAATGGTCAGTCTATTAACGTAAGTACGTTGGCAAACTTATTTTGAAATTTTTTTTAATTTTATTAATGGTAAATACGATTTCATAATATACATGTATTTCACAAATCTTATATGTATTGCTTGAAAATAAGATAAATTAAAAAAAAATTAATATGTCAAATCATCGTGATAAATTTAATTCATTCATGAGCATTAAAATGCAAAATAATCAGCAATGATTGATTTATTAATCAAAGCATGACTTCTATTTGAAAGAAAAAATAAAAACGTGAGGTAATAATTAATAGGGTATAATTAACAGGGATAAGTAATGTCTATACAAGTATCTTCGATTGTACAGAAATCAACTTTCAATTAATTCAAGTAAATAATTTATTTGCCATCTAAAGGAGAAATTTTCCGAAAAATAAATATTCCATGAAATTTCAAATTTTAATTGTCATTAAAGAAACAGGAAAAGAGGAGAAAAGGGGAAAATCGTTATAGGTTCAATGTGTAGGAATATAAGCACTTTAACCAATCAGCCACGCAACAAATTGGTTTATATAGTGTATATTAGCTTTTAACTGTCCGACGACCCGACTTGAAATATAGTCCCTATATCTTGACAACACTCTTTGTATTTATCGAAAGTTTTGTGATATTTAACTTTTTTTCTGTCAATTTTCTCCTCTTCCTCGCTCATTCTTTAAAAAATAATTTTTTAACACGAAACATAGTCAAAACTCATTTAAATTCTATAATTTTTTCAGTACCCTGTGTATTCTCGTGTGAAGCTGCATGCATTACACATTATGATGGCTTGCACTTTCATTCAATGTTTAATGAATAAATCATTTATAAAATACTTTAAAAAGGGCTACCCACAAAGTAAATTACAGCTATCAGAAATTGGGTACATCTTTTTTTTCAATCGCCTTTTTACAAACACCCGTTACGCTGACTGCTTTCGACCCACTGACCACATACTCGGTAACAATATGTACCTGATTACGGAGCTGATTTTTCTGCTTTATTAGTTTTTTGCCCAAGGGTTCATAAGATTACAAAGATAGCCATGTGGTTGTATTTATTGCTCATCATACAAACTTTAGATCAATTTGAAAGACAATCTTAATTATTTTAGGAAATATTTTTTCCGTTTTAAACAGAAATTTATTATTAAAGTTTTTACTATTATCAATTTGATGTGTTTAACATCAAAGGATTTTTTTTATTTTATTTAATTTAGCATGAAAAATACTTCTTATTTCATTATTTCAAGAGATTTCAAGAGGTATAAAACAATTAAAACTAGTGTAATGAACCCGAAATTGGCATACATACGTATAATTTTAGTATAATTATTGTCAATTTGGTTATGGCTTATTAATTTACGACCTTGTATTGTCAAAGTGAATAAATCAAGCAAAACCAGTTTAATTTTTTTCAATATTTCCGTCTTCGGTTGACCTATAGAAAAAAAAACGCACCACTTAAAAATACAGGAAATTCGAAGCCAACGGTCACAATTCCACTTGTTTAACAGGTGATTATAATTTTCAACGAGAATTTTTTGTCTGAAATACTAGTATACCTCGTACAATGACCGCTTGGATTAGATACCATTGGCTCACAGTAAGTACACGCGGATGGTATATTCATTTTTTATGTACTGTTTTAACATTTTGACGATAGAATGACAACTACCGTGTGGAAATTACCACATCTTATGTTTTTCTCCTTGTAATACTGATTAATATTCCAAAAGTGTACAGAAGTGCAAGACAGATCACGGGCAAAAGCAAAGGCGTAGTCAAAACTGTGACAGCTTACGACGAAACAAAATACCCTTAAGAAAAAATATACAACTATTTAATAACACATTAATGATTTTTAATACCCTCCCATCAAATATGCGCTAAAAAATTATTTGCAATAAAAATTACGATCATGGTACTCAAAACTTAGATGTAGAGATTTTTCTATAGTCTTATAGTAATTTCAAAAGCATTCAAAAATATTACATGTACATGAAACTTGCAAACAAAAATTTTTTTGTTTAGCTTGCAATTGAACTTAATTGCTAAGTAACATAGAGACGGAAGACAAAGTTATGGGCATATATCTATCGTAAAAAAGGGTATTCCTCTTACCAACACCTATATGTTGATATTATGTCATTCATAATAGATGAATGAAAAACACGAGTAAACAAGTAATCATTTTGATGAAATATGGAATAATCAATCAAATAAGAAAAATGCATATCACTGCTATGGAGGTGTTTGTTAAACAATGGCTCTTATTCATTCATAGCAAATTATTTAAATTCAAACCAGAAACATTCTTAAGAAAGATTGGAATAGAATTCGTATATACAAAAATTCAAACAAATTAGTTCTAATTCTGATAGCAAAAGCTGTAACCTTTAACCTACAAAATGAAGAACGCATACCAAAACTTCACACGTCTTCTACTAAGAATTTATTGTCATGCCAAGCATGTAAATCACTCTTACATAAAATGAATTCATAAATCAGAAAGAGAATCCATATGTTATTTAAATCGTTAGATTAAAACTTTTTGTACGCCTAATAACGTTTCCATAAATAAATCTTATACACACGCCTCTTAACATCATGTGGGAATGGACACGAGTTCATTCTGTCGCTAAATGGTGTCGCGCAACCTCTTGGCATCCGCTTTTTTGCTCTCTTCGGAGATTTTGAAATGCCCTTATTATACAACTAATATTGTTTTCTGGAATGGATGAAAATCAAGATAAGAAACAACGTGATCTTAAAAAGTTTTGCAGAGACTTATTCAATTTTGTTCATGTTGAAATGAACGTTTTGCAGGATTGCACTTCTAAAGCTATGAAGTCACGTGACACTCTGCAAAGCAACGTTTTTACGAGGTTTAGGAAACCGAGGGAAAACAGAACACGGTGGTATATCCTGTTTGCAGCAGCAGTCCTGGTCACTTCATTAGCAGTCGTGGCAATCACTTTAGCAATTTATTTTGGAACGGGAAAAGACGGTAAGTTATTAAAAATCAATGATCTTCTTGATTTGTGTTCATTCTTTTCATTATCTATTTTTTCTTGTTCTTCTTTAAAAAAAAGTTACACTTAGGATGGGTGCAAATTGGTTAATAAAAAAAATCACTCTGAGTTTCAAGGTTGGCATAATTTATGGCTTCATAAAAATGGTTGACGAAAATATTATCTAGAAACAACTGACTTGCTCAAAATATTTTTTAAACTAAAAGGAAAATTTGTCATGTTATCTTTTAAATCCAGTGCCATTCTTGGACTTTGGAGATGTTTTGTGATAAACAAAAGAACCTACATTTTACGTGACTTTCCGTTATGACCAATTTATGCAAGATTCATACTGTTTTAGATGCAAATTCAGACGAAGGACAAGTTGAAACCATCCGGCTTGGTAAGTAATATTATTTTCAGATTTGCTCATAATATATGAAATTTTCTTCATATTTGGAATTTGGGCGGACAGGCATAAATAATCATTTTCAGAAGTGAATATTTCCATTCTCGGAATCGAAATCACAGAATTTTTTTTATAAATATGCCCACGTGTACATGGAAAGAATACACAATTGAAATAAATGATATTCAAATTAATTATTAAGTTCCTTGATTGTGGCAGTGATTAAAATTACAATATTACTGTACATGTATCTACAAATTGTGCTTCAGGTCCTGATACCCCAGTCTCTACAGACAGTCCCTCGACAAAGGGTCAGTTCATCACCAAACTGACCTCCCAATATCCATCATCTACCTCAAAAAAGGCAACCTCTCAAGGTACGCGTCTCATTATTTTTTAAAATTAAATTCCGCATATTTTCATGATGTTTTTTGTTATCTTATGCGTGATTGGCCGGTCAAGAACTCCAGTCTAAAAGGTCTATAAATTTTATAATTCTTACAAACACACATAAATTTTTATAACTATAAAAATAATAAATCACAGATTTGTAAATAATATAGATGTAAGTTTGACATTACCGAAATAACAACTAAAATAGCTATTGTTATTTTCACATTGTCAAATCGACCATTCATTAGGAAGGAAGAGTATATGTCTATGTACATTTTATATTTACAAATAAGGTCATAAACTGTTCATGTAAGAAACCAATCCGTAGTTTCCTGGTTCCTCTATAGTGACGAATGCCTCGGGCAGCATGTGGTTTACTGATGTGACATATTTGTAATTGACGATGTTTCTCTAATGTGTGGTTTAGAACACAAAATTGTAACAAATGATTATGACATGAATTGGAATTTAAAGAATTGTCCATTTATATTTTAAAATTCTTAAAATTTAGACCTTTTTGAGGTCGATCCATGAAGACAATGTGCACAGAAAACCACACTTAGCAGGAATATATACAATGAAGAAACAAGTCAATATAACTTTACGAACATAATTGATCTAAGTTGCATTAAGACATTTTACGATAATATTCTTTTAGGGACCTCTTCTGGTGATACATTCACGAAATCTACAACTGCACATGTCCATGTCCAGAAGCAGACGACCAATTCCAGAAGCAGTGTCTCAACGTCTGCTAGACAGACGACAAAATCGTCACAACGTTCCAGCACAGGTAATATATTATTCTTTTCCTTTGTCAAGGAATATACGCAGTATATTGTAATGCAGTGCGTTTACTAGAAGGAAAATACATATTTGTATCAGAGGTTTTTTTAAAGCACTGCATGCCGATTCTGCACATTTTTGCAACAGATCAGTTTGTATAGTTTGTCTTTCTTTTAATTAACCACAGAAACTCGAACTACCTCAATTAATACCCATTCATCCGCCACCACTGCAGACGACCAAACCACAAAGGTCACCCATTCCACCCAAGAAACCACGAAAACCGTCACAGCTTACCCTCTGAGACCTAGTAAGCATTGCTTATTGCTAAAGATACTTAAAATTTATCTTAGACTTTCTTTAAGGTTGTGTATAATGATCATTCAGACTAAAAGAAATTCGGTTATTACAATAGCATTTTGGAGTAAATGCAATTCCAGTGGTAATTTTTATCTTGTTAGGCATACCGAACCAATAGCTATAATTAACCTCTGCACTAAGTGTAAGGAATAAAAATTTAATACAAACTTCAATCTGTCTTTCCTTTAAGCTTTAACCGTCCAAACCAACAATATTGTATTACCATACTCAAAAGCTGTGCTTAGTGTCAGCTGTGTTACGATGTACGCCAGGCAATGGAGGGAGATGAGGATCTACCGTCAAATGGAGGGGGGTTCCATCGTAAGCCTCGTTGTGGTCAAGTCAAACATGGGCTCACCGAACGTGGAAATAAGCCCCAATTTTACGTCCGAGATAAGCTACAAAGAGGATGCTTTACTAGTAACAATTCACTCCAAGGAAGTGGACTGCTCGTACCTTGGAAACTACACCTGCTTATTGGCGCTCCCAGATGAAACTTACAAAAACACCACTAGAGTCCAAGGTTTGTGAAATTTTAAAATTATTATTGATAATTTTAAATGACGAAATTTTTAAAATGGTTATGACAACTAAACGTTATTCAAAGTTATGTATCAACATTCATCAATCAGCAGTTAGGGTAAGTCGTATTGTCTGTGTTAATTAAAACAAAAATAGATTCCTCTTATATCAATTCAAGGCATTAATTTTGTAGAAAAAAAAATTTAAAAAGATGCACACACGCATACACAATTGCATCAAGGAACTTGGGCAATAAAGTAGTGCTATGTCCATGACCAACTCTTTAAAACTTGTTTTCTTTATTTAGTTGATAATCCATCACAGACGAATGAATAATTTTGTTAATCTCATTATTCATGAATGTTCTTCAAGATTTAGATCTTGACAAATATTATGCTTAACACGACAGATTTCCATGTTATTTCAGGAAAAAAATAATCAAATACCTATTCATTTTATAATTTAAGTTTTGATAAACATGCAAATCGTGTGATCTATCAAATAAAACAAACTATTTTTGAAGTTGATTTAAAGGTAGGCCTACAGCATTTCTTAATTCCACAGTGAAATCCAATTACAAAGCAAAAGTTGGTACCAAGATGCGGTTTTATTTTTTATTTGACTAACCACAATCTAACCACCTTTAGTTTGAAACATTCTTAGTACCTTTGGATTGAGGGAAATGAAAAGTCAAAAATAAAAGGCATAACTTCTTTGGCAATGTCTTACGTGATCTATAAAATAATATTTTTTTTTAGATTTTAACCAACCTTACCCAGGGGATCGGTGAAAATCCTTTGTGAAGGAAATTAATTTTTCTCAAATGAACATTGTTTTTTCTGACTTAAGTCTTTTTTAAGTTACTGTTAAGGTCCAAATATGTTTTTCTTTTTAATTAATATTCGGACTTTCTTGTCACACAATAACTGATCTCTTCACATTGATGACTGATTATTAGAAACGAACGCAAGTATTCCGACCGAACAATGGCAATGCTTACACTGCAAGACGTGATAATTTTAAATCCGTTTATAGTACTCACATGTACATGTACGTTTAAATGCTACATTTCCTTACAAAAACATAACTTAATCGTAAAATGATTATTAATATTAATTTATCAAAATTATTTCTTCCTCTAGCTCTGAATAAAAAGAATTCCAAACCTAAGCTGACCGTTTCCACCAGTGTCGTGGAAGACAACACTGCCACTATCACGTGTTCTATGGAGCTGATTGAACCGAATGCCACCATCACTTACAAATTTCGCCCGCCTGGTCTGGACAAGTACTTTAACCTCAGTCTGAGCCCAAATATTACTCGGACGTGGACAGGGTGTTCTCTACTGATTGAGAGTACACTCACTATGGTATCTAAGATGCACGATAATGGATCTGTCTTTATGTGTGAGGTGACGACATATCGTAATAACGCCATCACTACATATACATCAGAAGCCGAATTTAACGTTATTCCAAGTAAGTAATCCACAAAAGATCATATCATGAATAAATTTCGAATAAGAATTCATTTTTTAGTGAAAAAATTGTTATTTATTGGCGATGAGTTATTTGAAAGTTAAATTCCCTTTATTTTCCAGAAACTTATTGTGATGATAAGAATGCTTTCGCCATATACCCTCATCCCTACGAGACGTGCAATAGCGTCGTGTACTGTTATGTGAATGGTCCACAGGTGTACAAAATAAACTGTGGAGAAGGGTACTGTTACGACACGACTAAAACAAATTGTGTGAAGGTGGCTTCAACATCAGTGCCTAACACCACCCCTACCACCAACACCACCGTGGTGGAGACTCAAACAACGGGGCTGCCATTCGATTCCAAGGATATATAAATACCCAATACATGATGGGAAATATACTCTGTGTTATTACTGAGGTCATGTGGCAATTTTGAAAAAAAACTAGAAAAATCAACAGAAGAGAAACGACAAGTTTTCTCTTTATCAAACCTCCCTCAAAAAAAGAGAAAACTATTGAAAAATAATGTCTCCCTTGGGATTACGATTAACCATTGTGTTAAAATCACCTTAGCTGACTGTTAGTAGTCAACGTTATAAATTCAACAAACAAGAGCGATTGTATAAGAACGCGCTTGTCGGCTGACGGTGAACGTTCTTGTTTCTTCAAACCCGGAAATGTTGGAGTGATGAAGTTTATAAAGGTTTTATTTAAAGATCTTGTGTAATGTAACTTTGTTTTAAATTTAGCTCTTTCTGGACTCCTCAAAATCTATTCATCAACAAGTAATGCCATAAAACGTTGACTTATAAAGCAGACCAAGCAGACTAGAGAACAGGATCCTGTACGTAAATACAAGTCCCAGAAAAGTACATGGGTGACATTTATGGAGGAAAGCTGTGGATTTTTAAATAAGCACGAATTAATCACAGCGATAGGTGGAAATTATGAAACATCAATGTCATAGACATCTCTCATATAGACTTTTCCTTTTTACCTTGATCATGCGTACCTAAAACTGTTAATTTATATTTACATATTGTCAAAATGAAATCCAGCTGTTTTGTAGTCCCGTCATTACTGTATGTTATGCATAAAGATTAGCAAACAAATATAGTTTGCACTTTATATTGTTTTTGCTGTTAAAATATGTATATGTGGCATCATATCAAATATAATTATGTCAGGGCTATGTACATATATTTTTTCTCTGTATATCATAAAATTCTATTTTTTTGTCATCAGTAATTAAAACGCTTTAAAAATGAACGACGTTTAGATGTACACTGTACTTTATTTCAATTGATATACATGTACATGTATACTTTGATACAAAGTACAACTTCACATATTGGTGAACAGAAAAACATAAAAATTATCATCTTCGTTTCATAGCATCTTCATAACAAAAACAGAAAATAAAATTAATGGGAGAAAGAAAATAAACATATATATAAGACAAAAAACTGGAATCTATCCAACCAAACACTGTAACCGGTGTAAATGGATTTTAATGATAAAGCCAAGCTCAAGGAAAAACCCCAAAAATGTATAACTTTCCTAAAAAATAACGTTCTAAATAAAGTTTTACCTATAAAAATACAAATAATGAAGGACAATTACGTTTTTGTCATTTAAAATCTGTTCTACAACCTACTAAATGCTTGCAAATGCACAAAGTAAACTCTGATTCTCAATCTTTTCACAGAGCAAGTTCCGTCTTTACATTATTTGACTCCGCCGTAGAATTAAGTAATCCTTTGGTGATTTCTAGGGTTTGGTAGATATCCAGTCCTTCACCTAAAAGACGTCATAAAAAATAGAAGAAAACTGATGATATGGTGACCGGAAAAAAAAATCTTAGTCTGCATTTATAGAAGCATTACACGAAATATTGTATTAAACGAATAGACGAAAGACTTGTTTTTTCTTAAATATGATCGGCAAAAAACAATGATTTCATTTTTGAACTAGTTATGCTCATGTTATATGAACAAATCCATAATTACTACAGTTTAACATGATAAAATAACGACCATTACATTGATATAGTTTGTAGATTTGACTATTTATTTTGCTTACAAAGAACATGCGAAACACGGATACATTTTCCTCCGTATCATAACTTCTGCCAAGATAGAAGACCAGCAGCATATATTTACATTTTTTTTATATGGAGAGAAAAAAAAACCCTGAATTTGAATACTGTAAATAAGATCGATATTTCGATCGCGGGTTATTTTTCGCCCTTACACACTTGCAAAAAAATGTTTCCCCGTTTTCAACTCGCCCAGACACAAAAAGGAAATGTTGATTTCTTTGGATTCGCACCGTATGGAATTCGTGAATTTGTAACGAGGAGCGGGGGGGGGGGGGGGACGAGGAAAATTTCCCTATGTACAGCGAAATTCACTGTGTTTGCACAATTTTTCGTCTAAGCTTTTCCAAGAAATCTAAACATCCAATACCTTTCTTTATGTATAAAATTGAATAAACAAATTTTGAATTGGAAAAGATGTAACTTTATGCGATTGTTTTGTTAAGGCCTTGAGGTGTTTTGTGTGCTACATAAATTACATGTATAATGTAATTTAAAAAAAATAGATAAAACAAACTTTTTTTCTATACAACTTATGTTTAACATTTTAAAAGATGATTAAACATTTTAAGAGATGATTTGCTGATTATTTATATGAACCACATCACAAATCACGCGGGAACATAGCAAATTACATGTACGTTAGTTATTCTCACGTGCTAGTTTTCTCTTCTGGTTTTCATAAATACCTTAAAATATTGTAAATTTAACCTCAGTACATTGTCATTTGTCAACCGAACAAGCTTACATAACGTTGTGGTAATGTAAAGATTTAATAAATTGTTTTTTAAAAGAAAGACGCAAACCGTTACATTTCTTTAAAATATGAAAACAAGGACACTGTCGTGAACAAAAATATGTTCATTTAAATTTACTGTTTAAAATTTCAATGAAATAAACATTTAAAATAAATTTCAGTCTGCAATTATTATTATTCATTAATTAATGTATTTCAATTTTTAAAAAAGAGTTCTTGATATAGAATTTCTAATACATGATGGAATATTAATTAGCTGAAACATATTATTTTGGAAAAAGTTTTTAAGAAATTAATGCAAATGTCATGGACCAAAATATGAAAAATTAGTATATGAGAGGTCTTGTAAAATTAAACTGTATTCATTCCAAGCATATCATTTTTTTTCTTAATCTCCCTTCTTTCATTTTTAAGCAGTAAGCTCAAATTTCGACTTTTTCCAAGAAGGTACAAAATGATACAAAAACTAAAAGTTTTGATCGTTTACTAAGAGAGAAATATTACTTTTTACGGATTATTGGCTCAAATCTGTACTTAGATTTGAAGCATTTAAAAGCCAACATAGTTCTAGTACATGTATGTGTGAAAAATCTTATTTATTTGATATATTTTGAATCTTTACTCCCTTAATATTAATTTAACTTACACTTGAAAATTTCGTCTAGTCTTTGATTGCATAAAAATTATAACTAAATTCAATGTTCTATAATAATTTTGAGAGGCAGAAAAGAAGAAATTTTCATATGCCACCATTCTGCCAAAAATAAAGTCCCTGCTAGTTTTCAAACGCAGTTTACCATTTCTATTTAAAGTTGTATAATTGTGATGAGGAAAGAAAAATATGGTCTTTTAAATCTCTTACATCTAACTATATAAGACATATCAACAAATGTACTTTGAATATTCCATCTAGTCAGAAACTAGAGAAGAATCCTACCTTAACATCTACAAGGGAAAAATACATACATGTAATATAAAACTTTGAGAAGACTTTATCAAATCCGAAATGTTGAAGGTTAATTTTTCCATATCTAAAAGTATACTGAAAACGATAAAGAGCTTTAATGTGGACTATTGAAATTTGAAGTCTTCTCTGTAGAAATGGTGTGAAGCTTTTCTTATCATAAGAAAATACCACGTTTCTATTTAAAGTTGTATAATTGTGATGAGGAAAGAAAAATATGGTCTTTTAAATCTCTTACATCTAACTATATAAGACATATCAACAAATGTACTTTGAATATTCCATCTAGTCAGAAACTAGAGAAGAATCCTACCTTAACATCTACAAGGGAAAAATACATACATGTAATATAAAACTTTGAGAAGACTTTATCAAATCCGAAATGTTGAAGGTTAATTTTTCCATATCTAAAAGTATACTGAAAACGATAAAGAGCTTTAATGTGGACTATTGAAATTTGAAGTCTTCTCTGTAGAAATGGTGTGAAGCTTTTCTTATCATAAGAAAATACCACGTAAGTGTACATACAACACTTTCCTGCATGCTCAATCACAAAAGAGAACCTAATAATCTCCATAAAGTACAAATTAAAGCTCAAAAATATCAAAAATAGCTTTAAAGCCATATATGGCGAAACTGATCAAAAAAATATATTTTTGAAAAATACAAAATTAAGTAAAGAAATATAGTTTATACATTTAAATCAAAACTTTTCATACAATTCTGAACACGGAGAACACCTCGTTTCAACTAATAATACGATTTTATCTTCTCTGTAATGTGTTATTTAAATCTTTTGTATTTTCTTCCGAGTTGGAGAAAATTCCAAGAATCCAAATTAAATTGTGATATCTTTATAACGCAATTGACTTAGATTTTGTAATTTACGGAAAAGTTCTATCTTTATATAAAGTAATAAAACAAATAATACGTTCTTATAATTTTAGCCTGATAATTTTCATCGTACATACGCCATATATGGCTTTAAACTTGATTTACTACTATACTAACAAGATTGGCAAACAGGAACAAGATTTGATGTATGAAACATTACTCTTATTTCAGCAGATCTCTAGAAGAACACCCACTAATGCAAGTCAGTGTGTCTTACACAATTTGCATTCAGCATTGATTTTTAAAAAGGTCACACATGGCAGGTGGTCACTACATAAACGAATTTCCTGGGAGTACAGATTGAAATGAGTACTAACTGTACATATGGGAGACGTCAAATAAGGGAGACAAAGAAATATTTTTTAAGGTAGAGATTGATAGCTTGTCAACAAAAAAACTACCCATTGAATTTTTCTGAATTTTTTATATGTTTGTGTTGAGTCCTTGTTCTAAATCATATCAAAAATTCAAGGTAGGTCATCGGGCTATTTTTAGAGAAATTTGACAATTTTAATATAGCCTTCATCAACCACCGAAGAGCTGAAAAAGCAGGGTAAAATAAAATAAGAATATGATATGAAAAGGGCTGTATTTTTTTTATTGCTATATCAATTATCATTTGTCTTATATGAATTCAAACATCTGTCTATATGGATTAATATTTGACATCAATCTTGAATTTATCAAGCATTGTAAGCAAAAAAGAGTATTCCATTTACCAAGATGCATGGTCAAATTAGGTTAAAATATTGCATATTCATTGCACAAAGTCTCCCACTTCTGCTTCCACTGTGAAAAAATTACCCATCAAATTTCTTTTTTTATTGCATATTATAGATAATCTATATGTGTCTTAAATTTCAGAAAAAAATCATACTACATAATGGGGTTTAAATTCATCCTGGAACAAGTTTACTATCTTACACCTTACCCTACCCCCTTCCTTTAGATGGATGCACTTTTGAAGAATATGGTGACTAAGAGAGATTATCAAGAATTTATCAAAATATTTCACAGAAAATGAGTAAATTCTTTGTAATATTCTTCTAAATTACATTTAATATCACAAAAACAATTCATACATGTACACCTAGACACATGTTGCCCTGGTTGACCTTTTTGCACTTACATTGAAAAAGATAAGAACTTTCCCTTATATCATTCAATTTGACTTTGATAGATAGAATCAATCAAAATATTTCAAAGAAAATAGGTAAATTCTTTTGTAATATTCTTCTAAATTACATTCTATACCACAGAAAACAATTTATACATGTACACCTGGACACATGGTGACCTGGTTGACCTTTTTGCACTTACATTAAAAAAATAAGAACTTTTCTTTATATTGTTCAAATTGACTCTGTAGATTTATTATACATATTGTTCTTGGATGTATTATCAATGACAATATCTTTTGACCAATTCTGTAAATAAATAAACAAGTCTTATTATCTTCCTTTGCAACAATAGAATTAAATTCACTTTTCTTTTAACAATTCCTTTTTTATTCCAAATACATTGTACAGCATGAATAAGAATAAGTGATTATGAAGTTTTGCATGCAGGATCAATCCATGGCATGTTATCTTTGTTTTAAAAATATCTAGATAACAATGTGTTATGCATTACACTGTAAAATGAAGACTGCCTGGTCATCAGTTGTTAGATATCAATACACTGAAGCATCACATGGTAAAAATTGTGGGAAAATGGAGATTGATTTGGTTTTCATTTCATACTTACAAAAATACTGTAATAATTTACTAAGTCAAAACATACAATGTATCAGAGGTAATAATTTGTAACTTTAAAGTATAGAATTTGCACACAGATTCATAAAAGTTAGAGGAATCCCACCATAAACTGTATATGATACTGTACAATTTTTAAACTCATGATGTAGTTCAACAAAATATAGTGAATACATTCAGTACATTTATGGTATTAGGATAAACTTGCTATTTTGCTTTTTTTCTAATTGGCTAACAAAGATCAATGTGAACATGAATGCATTTTTTAATTGCCATCGTATGCAGCCAGTTTTGTCATGTTCAAGAATCCTGACAATTCCTTTGTTTTTATGTCAATACAACAAAGGTGTTCTTTGACAAGGATCTGCAGTGAGCAAAATTCATTCTGTATATTCAGATTTTGAAGCACGTCATATGGTGTGATATGTCCATTCCCCCTTACTGTCTCCTTCTGATAGTTCTTTTTTCTGAAAAGAACAAAATATTTTAAAACAAAAAGAACGAAAACACATGTTTTACTTCTTTCTTACACTGCAAACATAGTATGACTATGTCTATATGAATGTAAGACACTTCTGAGATACCTTTTTATATATAATGTCATGATTTTTTTTAATAAATGCATATAAAGTCAGCCTCATTATTAATCTGGGCATTTTTGCTCCCAAGGAAATTATTTGGATTAATGAATTGTCTTAATTAAACAAACTGGTATTATAGTAGCATATAAGGATAAAGATCAAATATTTTAGTTTCTAGGCCACACACTAAGGCCAAGAACAGAAAAGAAAAGAAATAAACGTGAAATACAAATACTCAGCACAAACTGTTCAAGAGTTAGTACCAAAGGATCAAGTTTTTGTGGAAATAAAAAACTACCTGTACCTGTCAGTGACACATCAATGCATATACCACTAGCAACCTAAATATTATATGTGGAATTAAAATACTTTTCTTTTTACATCTTATTCCATATTTTTTTAATTCAGTTTTGTCCCTAATTACCTTATTGATATAAATCTAATATTCTTTTGTAACACTGCAGATGACACTTGATTATAGCCAAGAATTCTATGTTTCCATGGATCTGTAACATGATGAAAATAAAATAAAGTAAATACATGTAGCTTGATCATCTTTTTAAAAAGAAAATGTAGAATTTATTAACAATTTTGATTTATTTTGAAAATTTAGCTATGATAATGTGAAGAGGTCAATATTGTTAAAAAAACATGTCAATTACAAGTTTTTTAACAATACACGTACTGACTTCTTCATATTATTATAGTTCCAATTCTTCGGTGCTTTAGTTGAAACAATTTCATTCAAGTTAGAAACATCTTTACATTTTAAAATTTTTTGGTTATTCAGTTTTGAATTCAATTTACAACATGACTTTTTATATGTTTATACACTAATATTTAACCATACATGTATTTAAGTCAATAAAACACCTACATGTAAGTAGTGATGCAGAGATCCCCAGTTAGATTCTCAGTCCAGCCATACATGTTCCTCATTACCTGACACACAAGTATGCCACTTTATGTTCAGTTTGCTGTAGCAGCAGATCTGGCTTGAACTTTCCTGAAATATTAATATGATCTTTAAGAAATTATTGACTTAAGAAAATGATTCTACATATATGTATACAGTAATACTGTATGTACATTATGGTGTTTAAATAAAAAATACAAGGACTAAAAATCATAAATTTAAATTTTTAATACATGCATTATAAAACACCTGCTTTTTACCACCCCCTTGAAAAAAATTTATGGATTTTCCCTGATACATGTGTAAGTGTAAATTGAAAGAAAAAAATACAAACCAATGGCTATTTTGGAGTTAATGTAAAAAGCACCCTTGACATATTCCTCTTTCCAGGTAACACTTGATTTGGTCACATTATTTCAGCAGGGAAAGCTGAACACACTGTCTAGTTCATACATGTAGCTTGCTTCACCTGTAGTATTAAATATTTCTTTTATAATCTATGAATATGATATCTCTTTATAATCAGGGCCCTTTTGAGCATAAAACAAATAGTGTTGCCTACATAAATTTATTACAGGTACATTTATATTACATAAGGCTAAAAAAAAATAGTCTTGTTTCCTGCTACCCGACTGACCCTATTTAAAGTTGTTTCTTTTTTTTTTCAATGCAACTTTTTACAATTTGCTTTTTATTTCAAAAAGACAAAAGATTTGCAAGTAAATGTTTACTATTATATTTATAAAAGAGGTTATAATAATTGAAAAGCATCTACCATCCAAAGCAGAAAAAGTTTATATATTTCTGCATTTGAACAATTTAAGCAAAATGTTTTTTCCATTTTTTGATCTGAGTAACTAAACACCACCTCGTGTGTTAGGCACAGATAAGTATGATTACTTTATATTTTTCACCAATCCGGCCTTTATCATTTTCTGACACCATAAATGTCTAGTTTTATTCTTCTATTCTAAAAGTTCCAGTCTGGTCATTAAATACGTTTTAATTTTTAGCTAAATAAAACTACTTTAGGAAGGGAAAAATATATGAAGGTTATTGTTTATTGAAGCTAAATATACTGGTATCAGACATATGCGTAAACAAACAAGCACCATAGTCATGATCGATATACCTGTACTGTATACTAAGTCGTAAATTTTCACCTTATGTATCTGACACGGACACAGCATACAAAAAAATCTGTTCTGCAAAAATTTTACTTCTTCCAATTAACATCTGTAGGGTCATGGTCTTAAACGTCTATACTGAAAACAACATCAGGCACAGATCGATACCGGTGTACCCACGTGGTGCTGCAGTGGACACTGGACAAGGAGTGGTTTCACCAAAATTATGTTCACGGTCGGCTTCAGTCTCACTTATATTTTGATTGTCATGAAGATGCTTCAATTTCGAGAACCGGAAAGATTTAATACGTATGGTAACTTTGTTTTTTAACTCGAGGAAATTTCTCGATCGCTTCGTCGGCCATCTTGTAGCATAGACAATAATGTGTAAATGGAGACTTTTATTTGACGGCGTTCCGGAATCCGGAAAAAAGCACGTGCAAATATGCGGATTCTTTCTATCACGTGATTGCTATCGGTCTCTACCTTAATATGGTTTAAAATGATTAAATCCAGGACTGTATATCATGTATGTCAAATATGTATAAGGTCATGAAGTAAAGGCCATAAAACCACATGGAATGGAAGTAAAAGTTACGATTACTAGTAGCGTCAGACAGTTAGTCACTGCATGAGAAAGCTTTGACTGAATTTTTATTTGACCTGTCATACTGGTAACTGAATTCTTAGCAAAAATTTTATTAAGAAAGAGAAAAAAAAATCTGGCCAATTTTTTTTCTGTACTGAAGTTTTGGACCAATTCACGTAATTTAAATAAAACTGCAAAAATTTACCAAAAATTTACTTGTTAAAGAGTTTGTAAACTTTGGAAATGCATCTACTGAGTTTCAGATAATCTGGGTACTGCATTAAAGCTCTCGATAAACTTGGGATGAGTTGGGTTGTACAGTCGGAGTTCAGAATAAAATACTATATGCAGGGTTATTTCCCCCTGTGTAAGTTTCTTTCTTTTACACTTGCAACAAATTTGCCATGCCTTAAATCTGACCAGTCAAAGTTCTGTTTAAGAAATTCTACTATCATTGAATTCCTCTTGTTTTAAATTTTCTCAAATGTAAGTAGGGTGAAAAATGTGAAAATAAAATGGGGGCAAAAATTTCACTGCATGCTGTTTCTGTTCTGTTCTTTAATTGTAAAGAAGTAGAGAGCAAATAAGCACTTTTTAAATGTTCTTCATACAAACACCAGATAATTGATTCCTCAGTAACTAAATGGTCAATGGTATACCAGTTTTATAAACCACACAGTATCTGAACATAGTAGAATTAACATGATATTGCTGTCCTTATATCAAAATGTTGAAGAACATCATATCATATTCCTTCATATACCTTTTGTTTTTGTATAAAAGGTTTGAATTAATAGACTAAATTAACGATACTGGACCCGCTCCTTTGGCTCTCCCTTCCTCTAATTTAATTTTATGCAACTGAAGCAAAGAAAGATAACCTCCATTACAAAATAACTTGCATTTTAATCCCATAAATTAGGTATGTTGCATGAACCCTCTGATTGGTAATTGCATCAAAATCTGTTTTGTATGTACGTATACCTACATCTGTATTGAAAAGCCTGGCTGACAATGACATGTATGCACCCTTAGAATGCCCTCTAAGAATGCATACAATAACTGATATTTAACCTTTTTACCATTTCCTTTTTCTATGCAAACAAAGTCCACCACTTAAGGTTGGACCAAGAAAAATCTAGAGATCAGTTATGAATAGCTTTGGTGGTGTTTATTAGCAATAAATGTAGAAACACTTACCCATGGGGATATTGTAGGCCCTCTCCATACCACTAGGGTTAGAGGGGGTTCTACACTCCAGGTTTACTTCCTTCCTTAAGCACTGGTCTATATCCACTTTACTAAAGAAGGCCACCGACTGTGAAAAAGGGATGTATAAAGGTAAAACTGCATATTCATATAATATATGTAATCTCTCTTTAAAAATAGCAAATCACATTTCCAACAGTTGCAGAAGACCAGTGGAATGCTTTGTGGTTCCTGATTGTATCAGTATATGTCAAGTATTTTTTTTACCTGGGGTAAATTGTTCATTCCCAGAGCGTGAGCAAACATACACCTGGTGAGGAGGTTAGTGATGTGTAGGGCTAGGACCGCCCTGTACCGGTCCTTACTGGACACCAGGTACCGGACCTCATCATGGATACTGATGCTAAACCGGGCATCTATATCATACTGACTACAGAGCCAGTTCATACACACCAACATCAGATGGAGGTAATCCACAGCCGAACTCTGTACCACCCAGTTAATACGACTTGTCATGAACTGAAAGTAGACACCAAGTTAATACGACTTGTCATGAACTGAAAGTAGACAATAATGATACTCTGTACCACCCAGTTAATATGACTTATCATAAACTGAAAGTAGACAGTAATGATAATGTTAGGTATGAAACTGATTTGTATTACACCATTTTATTCCTATTAGTTACAGAGAACATGGCTGATTGACTTACTTCATCTCCTATGACCTCTGGTTCTAACACTTTACTGATAGAGGCACTCAGTACAGGTGTCTTTGGAGAGGGGGACTTGGCTATTGATTCCAACATGTTGAACATCACACTCTCGCTATCAGAAAATGTACAAGTTTATTATTATACTCTTCACAAAGATTTAAAGTGAGGTCTTTATATTATTCTAATTTTTTAAATAAATGAATATTATATTACAGGATTTTATTTCCTATGCAGCTTGTAACAAGAGCTTTGATTGGTTACAGAGTAAATTTCCATGCACCCGACTTGGGCCGGAGGTAAATAAAACATGACGTCAAAATGCAGTTTTTCTATAACAAGAGGCCCAGGGGCCACAGCGCTCACCTGAGCACATCGGGCTAGAATTTACTCCCCCTCCCCCCTCTAGGCATTCATCATTTGAACAAACTAGAATCTACACTACCAGAGGATGAATTCATATAAATATCACTAATCATAGCTTTGAAGTACTTGAAAAGAAGATTTTAAAAGGTTTCCCTATATATCCCTATGTAAAACATGGGTCGGCCATTTTGGCCCCACCCTAGCCCCGGGGGTCATTATTTGAACAAACTTGAATCTGCACTACCTGAGGATGATTCCACATGAGTTTCATCTTTCCTGGCCCAGTGGTTCTTGAGAAGAAAATTTTTAAAGATTTTTCCTATTCCTATGTAAAACTTGGGTCAGCCATTTTGGCCCCACCCTTGCCCCGGGAGTCATGATTTGAACAAACTTGAATTTGCACTACCTGAGGATGATTCCACATGAGTTTCATCTTTCCTGGCCCAGTGGTTCTGGAGAAGAAGATTTTAAAAGGTTTCCCTATATATCCCTATGTGAAAAATGGGTCGGCCATTTTGGCCCCGCCCTAGCCCTGGGGGTCATGATTTTAACAAACTTGAATCTGCAATACCTGAGCATAATTCCACATGAGTTTCATCTTTCCTGGCCCAGTGGTTCTTGAGGAGAAGATTTTTAAAGATTTTTCCTATATATTCCTATGTAAAACTTGGGTCGGCCATTTTGGCCCCACCCTTGCCCAGGGGGTCATGATTTGAACAAAATTGAATCTGCACTACCTGAGGATGATTCCACATGAGTTTCATCTTTCCTGGCCCAGTGGTTCTGGAGAAGAAGATTTTATAAAGATTTTACCTATGTATTCCTATGTAAAACTTGGGTCGGCCATTTTGGCCCCACCCTTGCCCGGGGGTCATGATTTGAACAAACTTGAATTTACACTACCTGAGGATGATTCCACATGAGTTTCATCTTTCCTGGCCCGGTGGTTCTGGAGAAGAAGATTTTATAAAGATTTTTCCTATATATTCCTATGTAAAACTTGGGTCGGCCATTTTGGCCCCACCCTTGCCCCGGGGGTCATGATTTGAACAAACTTGAATCTGCACTACCTGAGGATTATTCCACATGAGTTTCATTTTTCCTGGCCCAGTGGTTCTGGAGAAGAAGATTTTTAAAGTTTTTTCCTATATATTCCTATGTAAAACTTGGGTCGGCGATTTTGGCCCCACCTTTGCCCCGGGGGTCATGATTTGAACAAACTTAAATCTGCACTACCTGAGGATGATTCCACATGAGTTTCATCTTTCCTGGCCCAGTGGTTCTGGAGAAGAAGATTTTTAAAGATTTTTCCTATCTATTCCTATGTAAAACTTGGGTCGGCCATTTTGGCCCCACCCTTGCCCCGGGGGTCATGATTTGAACAAAATTGAATCTACACTACCTGAGGATGCTTCCACATGAGTTTCATCTTTCCT